CAGAGAACTAACGGAGGAGGCAGCTTTAGGTAGGATGTGAGCAATTGAATCATTCACCATAGCAACAGTAAGGTAGGAGGTCAGATGTTTTCAATAAAATGAAAATGACAACATGTAACAGAGTTTCTTAGATTTCTTTGAGGTCCATGTTCTGATATGTCTAGCTGTGCTGGATTTCTGTTTCCCTATCTGTAAAAATTGGGGAGAACAGTAACTGTCTTATAAGATTATTGAGACAATAAAAAGTTAATTGTCTATTTTAGAGCTTAGAAGAGTGATTCTAGTATAACAATAGATTGGTCAAAATGTTAAATGTTCTTCATGTTTCTGTTATTATTATTATTGTTATTATTACATTAATTGGGTCTGGCTCAAATTATATGCTTCTAATACTTGCATTTAATTTTACAGCTCCTTAGCATCAAATAAAATGCAGTTCTTGGGAGAAAGAGCAAGTTGTCAACTGTGATATGGTTTGTTTAACACAGTTTCTCTAATGGAATTCTGGCATATTAATTCTAGAGGGGCTATAAATCGAATCAATTCTGATTTTGTTAAAGTCTTTGAAAGCAGTGTTACATTCTAGGAGCCAAATGCTTATCTTAGAGTAAACAAATAGGGAGCATTTTAAAATTCAATATTTGCTACATTTTTTGATTAGCAAACAGAAGGAATGGATGCAATCAATACTTGGGCTCCCTGAGCAAAATATATTTATTACCTCTTGATACTTGGGTTTACCTCTATTGCTGCCTGATCTCCTTGGTGATCTTGGCACTGCTGTTACCCAGCTCAAGTCTGTCCTATGGCCTTTCAATCTTTCACTCTTGCTTCCCCACCCTTTACGCCACATAAACTTCGCTATCCATAGAGCAGTGATCTTTTAAAACTGTGTATCGGATCAGGGCACTATGGCTTAAAACCTCCAGTACATTTCTGAAACAAAACAAAATGCAACCCCTCTCCATGGTTTAGAAAACTCTGCTGAGCTGGCTCTTACCCACACCTCCAATCCATTTCTCACCACTCTTTCGGTGCTCCCTATAGATTGCTCCCTATGTCCAAATCAGCATTCTGTTCCAGGAATACACTGAAATCTCTCCCTAATCAGGGTTCTTTGTTTTTTCTGCTCCTTTGGCGTAGAACATTCATCTCCTAGTTCTTCACACGACTGCCTTATTATCATATATGTCTCAATTATCACCTCTTCAAAGAGGATATCCTGACCTTCCATGAAAGCAGTCCTGCCTTCCCCCAGCCCCTAGTTTTATTTCATTCATCCCACCTATCCTCAGCTGATGGAGTCTTGATAGTTTGTTTTCTGTCTTGTTGCTAGAATGGAGGGATTTTAATATATTACATGTAAAATTTAGATGTTTTTTCTTCATCCCTTCATTTACATTGAATAGAAAGTTGGAGCTCACTAAATTTAATAGGAGGGATAAGTAATTTCCAGTTCCTGTATTTTTACAGATGATTTACTTAAACTTTGATAGGACAGAGTGACTTTGGACTGTTGCATAGGTTTTCAGTTAGCTAACTGAAGGAATTATTGTATCAACCATTTATTCCTTCATGCCTTAAATCACACAGCCAACACACTACTTATTTATTTTTCTTTTACCCTCCATAATCTAACTTTGTATAAAGTTTTTCATCCAACTATTTCCCGGGTATTATATATTATATACAAACATAAATTAGAATGATTGCAAAGAACATAAAATTTACAGTCTCACTTGATGCCTGATAACAGAGAAAATAGTAAAAGTTTTCATTTTCCTGGAAAAGACTATCTAATATACTGCTTAAAATATTAAATTACATATTCATAGATATTCAGAGAAACATCCTTTGGGAAAATATAAACTGAATTCAAGACTACTCACATAGATAACTGAAATGAGTTATATATCCAGAGGTGATCATGATGAAATTGAAGATGCTTTTTTTAAGGGCAAGTAAAATCGAAGGCAAGTATAGACAGAGGAAGAAAAAGTAAATGACACCACAGAACTCAGAAAGTCTGTGATAATGCATACCTTATTCTTTCTGATCTACCTTTTGGGTAACTAAGGGATTCATCTAGAACTCTGCAAGGTAGATATGGTCAAGGAGAGAAGAATGGGCGACTGAGGACAAGCATAGGAGTTTTTTGGAAAGAAATGATTTTTCTTTTAAAAAAAGAAATGCTTTTATTGAACATAGTGAGTGCTATTATTGACCTCATTTTGATGAGAAAATGGAAGCTGAGAAGTACCTTGATCTATATAAGGTCAGAGAGAAGTATATGACAGGTGTTGGATATGACTTTAGCCTAACTTATATGAGAATGCTAATGTGTTGACATTACTTCAATGGGTTAACCCTGTTTTTTGTAATTTACATATTTTGATATGAAATGCTAGAAGTCAGAAAATAATCCTATTAAAGTCATTTCTTTTGTTACTTCTTCAACTCTAAAAGTTAATGGTTCATTTTAAAACTAAATGTCTTTTTGTTGAGAATTAAACTTTGAAAGTTCCTCAACGGAATATCAAATAAATTATTATATCTCTCCCTCTGACTCCCTGCTCCCTTTTCTCTCCCTTTGTGGGGGACTGCTGGGAATTGAGCCTGGGGCCTTGTGCATTCTAACACTGAACTATGCCCTCAGCACCAAAGTTCTGGTAGCTCTATATTCCCCAAATTTTGATATAAATAAAACAAATGAGCTCTATCCTTATGGGTTGCTCTGAAAGGATGCCCCTGGGATACCATTATGTGAAAAGAGTAGCATACAGATGTATAAAATGATCCTGGGTTGTTAATGCGTGTAGAAGTACAGAAAGATGTGTTGTATACTCCCAGCATTGTTACCTAAATGAATGAGGAAATCTATTATTAATTCACCCTCATACATTTTTTTTGTACATGATCTATCATAATAAGCACAAGGTTATTTTTGTAACTAATAATGAATATACATTTTTTCCACATCATTTATTTCTCAGTATAGTACTCCTCTGTGTTCTAGTGGTTTTAGCACATGATCTCATTTCTAACCTTAACTTTTTTTCACTCTCCTTTCAACCAAAGCACTCCATTGTTTGTTTTACACATTTAAGCTTGCTGTTGAGATTTCTATGGAACAATAAATTCCCCAGCAAAATAAATGTGACATCCTTTGGTTCATGTTACCTAGTCACTGGCAGGCCTTGCAGTATCTTAGTAAAACCAGCTATTGGATACACAGCCTTTTATCACATGTACATGTACAGTCATGAGATTGTGCATTACTAATACAAATATTTATATATTTATAAGAAATTCCATGTTTCTCTTTAGTATAGGCAACACACAAATACAATTTGAAGGTTAAATACGAACTAAGTTTGGTCTACTTAACTTAAAAACCATTCTGTGGATGTCAGAGTGAGCAAGAATAGTATTTTGTAGTCTACACCTATGATAATGAAATCATTAGATGAAGAAACTTGGAAAGAAAAATTCTAGACAACCGTTAAAACATTATCTTACAGTTTAAGAGGGCTCTGATGTAGTTGAAAATTGAGAAAATTAGAAAAGTCAAATCTTAACCAAACATGAACTATCATTTATCTAGGAAGCTCCCACAAAAAAATACATAATTTCCCCCTCCAGTCTATTTCAGAATAACCAGGAAACAGCTTAACTCAGTCTTCTGTTAAAATCCTAAGACCAATTCCACAAAGATGTGGGAGACATTATTTTTACTCCTACTTCAGCACTACATTAATCAACTCACTACATTCCACTGTTCCAAACCTGGGAAGAATACATAACAACTCTATAGTTAGTATCATTTGCAGTAAATTAAACTTAATTCAACACACACTTAATTGAGTGCTCACTAGAATTCAGTGAGCCATCTAGGTTTTGCAAAACTCTTGAAGATGTTTGGAATAAGTTCTACTCTCCAGGAACTGAAGATTTTGCAAAGAAGATACACTTAGAAACAACACACAATATGAGATGACAACTCTATAAAACATCAGTAAAAATATAAAGAATAGGGATCACAGAATAGAGATTTAATTACACTTACTTCTAGTTTGGGCAGTAAGAAGCTTCTGGAAAGAGGTGACCTTTTAGTTGAAGCTTAAAGACCAAGCAGGATTTGGGCAAAAGTGTGAGGACTTGGGGGGGTAGGGTGTAGTGCCATGGTGAAAGAGCAGGGAATTGCCAAAAGCAGTATGTGATAATGGATACTAATGGTGAAGTTTGCTTATATGATGAAGGAGAAAAGAGATGAGGAAGGCAAGGATGTTTAGGGCCAGACCAATGATGGCCTCCAGTGAACATGACTCAGTATATGCTTTAAACCACATAAAGGTCTATGCATACACAAGAAACAGCTTGCTTCTGCTTGAGCTCTCCTTTTATGATTATAAGTAGCAAAATCCTCATTTTTATTTAATTTGAATAAGAATTTTTAAAGAAATTTGAAACAGACATTTTATCACATTAGTTTACGTAGTCCATTTATTGGAAGACAGCAGTCAGTGAATCTTTCATTGAAATCAAGGAACACAAGATGGGTTAAGCTACTTGGTCAGGGAGTTTGGGAGCCATTGGAAAAATAATATCATCCTGAGACAGAAGTGAGACTAGGAAAGGGATGACAAAAGTAGGTAGCCAAAAGGTATTACTGGATAATCTATCAGCACTAGCTGAAGAATGTTAACATCCCCACTTAACCTCACAGCCCCAAGAATCTGCTTCTCCAAACTCAAGTTGAACATATTAATTAATATACTTCCTTTGAGTTAATATAAGCATACCTCTATTCTCACCAGAGGAACTTCTCTAGCTCTTAGTTGGCAGGAAGAAGAGAAACAACAGCACCTCTTTCCATTAATCTATCTACTGTCCCAACCCTTGAGCTCCATCCGTTCTTCTAACCTGGAGGGTGAGATGGTCACAAAGTCTTCATATGAGAATCACCACCTTGGATGAGCTTTCATGCTTTAAAAACCTACCATTCTGACGCCATTTTCAAAGGCTTGCCGGGTGAGGGGAGCTGGTCCATCCACAGTCTTGCCATCATCATCTGGTCCCCAGCTGGCACTATAAATGTGCACATGCTGGGGATTGAAGCTAACTGATTTCGCTTCTACCATGTCTGTGACATCTCCATCCAGCATTCGTACTCCTTCAAGACAGAAAGGAGGACCAGCAAGTTACAGAGCCTTCACTACATGATACCCAAGTAACCCAGATATAGGATTTGGGGGTAAAAGAAAACATCTTTAATCAACACTTTAGTAAGCATATTTTCCCTTATAAAAGTATAATGCTTGCTTTGTAGAAGTCATTTTGGGGAGAAAGGAAGTTAAATTGCATGTCAATGAGTAAGACTTCTTTAAAATCTTTTTTATTCCACTGTTATCACCCCCTACAGTTCTAATTTCTACAACGGCAAACACAATCTCTCCCTTCTCATCCCACTCTTGAGTATTTGACAAAGAGTTTCAAACCATCAACCTTTCCTAAAATTTCTTTTCACTGAATATCTCATGTTCCTAGTTGGTATATACCGTGGCAGACTTATAAAACTTGGAAAACTGCCAAGTTAGGCTGGTCTCCTTTTTTCCATATTGAATACTATCCTCTAATCTTAAAATTGATTTGAATTTAATATATGTCTTTTCTGCCAAGTTATTTACAAGCCAAATAATAAATGAGAATGCATTTAACACTTCAGATAATTCTCAAAGGGTTTTTGCAATGTTTAGCTATTAATCTTGATTTAAGTATGTTTCTATCAGACAGTAGAAATTTATTAACTCTTTTTTGCAAAAGGACACTAAGATAATCAGAAATAAGTTACATGCCAAATTCCAGGCTTCCTTTTTTTTTTTTTCATTTTATGCAATCAAACTAACAAAATAACAGAAATCTAACAAAACATTCTATTGGTAAATAAATATGCTCCTCCTCAGTTAAAACTACTTATCATCACTGAGACATTGTATTATTTTAAAATTATTACCATTACATGGCAAACTTACTCTTTAGGAAAATACTGTTATCTCAGTAGGATTTTAAGTTTTTATTGGTTATTAATAAACAGAGACTAAATATTAAAGCCTCAAATCAGGTAGCTTTGGGTATTATGTGGTTGAATTGGGACTACTTCATTTAAAAAGTTTAACTATAAAACTTGCAAATAAAAAATAGGAAAAAATGAACAATGAATACACATAGAGCCAGTACTCAGAAACTGTTAAAATTTTGCCTCACTTTCTTCATTTAAACAATACAAATAGTCGGTTAAACTATTTGTCATCTCACACCCAGCCAACATTAAATCGTCCAAGTATCCCTATAGACACTACACTTGGTTGTTACGCCTTCAAATTCTCTGCTTCTAGACTTTTTGGTTCTGTTTTTTTTTTTTTTTTTAATTATTCTTAATAGGTACATAGTTGTTGCACATACTTAAGTTTTACTGTTTGACATTGTGACTTTTTGGACTTTTAAAAGAAAATAATTACAAGTACTGTAGAGAATGAAGGTTGTGAATGAGTCTAAAAATTATGGGATAAAAACTACACTTAGTCTGTTAGTAATTTGTTTTGTGGCCATAGAAAACACAGGCTAATACTCTGCATGTACTCAGTCCTGAATAGCCATTGGTTTCTTTTAATTTAATATAAATATTCAAACTTAATCATTCCATTTTGTAATGACAAAGAAAATACTTCATCTTCTTACATTTTGATTTTTGGTAATGGGAACTGAACCCACAAGTGCTTAAATGCTGAGCTACATCCCCAGCCCATTTTTTATTTTATATTTGAGATAGGGTCTTGCTAAGTTGCTTGCTTAGAGACTCGATAAATTGCTGAGGCTGGCCTTGAACTTACAATTCTCCTGCCTCAGCCTCCTGGGCTGCTGAGATTTCAGGCAGGTATCACCATGCCCCTCCCTCTGACTTTTTATTTAAAAGCCTAAAATGAATCTTTTACCAGTACATTGAGGTCTGAAAAAAAAAAAAACACTATAACTGTTAATAACTAATAATCCCACGAGTGTGTGCAAATGCTAACATGAGAATATCAACACAACACCTCAATTCAACTTCTGTTGTAATCTACATGAAGTATATGGAAAAAAAAGGGGGGAAAGACTAAGTTGCATTTAGAAGGTAATGGCTTTCTGTCTTAAAAACTCACACAAAAAAATTCATCAACTTTATAGATGAAAGACTGCTTCTTTTTCTCATTTAACTCCATGCCTTCATGGGCTTGAGGGGTTAAGTTTATGATTCAGAATGCTCTTGTTTAGAACATTCTTGAGTCATCGCCACACATTCATTTTTTAAATAAAGTACTGTTCAGCTAGGTCAGCAGTTTATCTGAGTTCACAAGTTCATGCTCTCATTCCTTCAAGGTCAGTAAGAGTGCTGAGTCTGTGATAGAGTATAATTGTGGGATCTAGGGTCTAAGTCTGTATGTGAGGACAAGTCCTGGGCTGCAAGACAGGTTCACCAGGTGGCTCCTGATTGGACTCTGGGATGAGCAGGGGCCTCCAGTGGCCATCATCCTTTAGGGAGCATCCTTGGCTTCCTTTCCTTAGCTCCCCAATGGCCTTCCCCCTGACACACAGCAGGTATTCCTGAGTGCAGCTAATTACTGGTCAGTAAACTGTCATATCCTAAGAATTCAGGATGAAATAAATGAAAGGAAAAGATCAAATTTACCATGGACTGAAATTCAAGGTAGTTTCAGGAAACCTTTTCTTAGCACTGTTGTTGTATATCACTGTCCCCTCTTATCTGTGGCTTTGCTTTCCCTGATTTGACAACAGCCAAGGTTTGATGATATTAAATGGAAATTTCAGAAATAATTCATGTTTTAAATAACTTTTTTATAGCTTATTGTGAAAACTGTCCTATTTTATTAGTAGTTATTATTGTTAATCACTTACTGTGCCTAATTGATAAACATTATTGTTAGTATTTAAATAGAGGACAAAAAATATGCAGGGATCAGTTCTCTCAGTGCTTTCAGACATCCAATGGAATCTGAGATAAGGGGACACTACAGTTCCCTAAATATTTAAAATTTTTATCTTGGATAGGGTTGCCATCTAAAATTGTTAGTTCCAACTCTATGTATAACATGGAAACAAATGACACATTGGAAACAAGGAGGTCAGCCTGGTTTCAGAAAGTTCATTCATCTTATGGGAGACCTTTCAGCAGACCCTATGGGAATGCCTTCAGGCCAGGCATATTGATCAGTCACCAGGCTCTGTATATAACCTTTTCTTCCCATTTGCATGTAGCTGTGGCACATGGTTATTGCTTACAAAGATGATTACAAATGAGAAAGTTAAGAGTTTGCTTTTATCAATACTTGGATTTACACAGCATTTATGGGACCCTTATACCAAACTTATGTATATCTGAGTTTGTGCATCTGAAATCATTCATGGAAACAGTATCACTACATTATGAGACTTTCAAAGATTTTACTCTTACTGCTTTAATTATAGTTAAAGGAACCCTTTTTAAATCCTGAGCAACACAACACACAAAAAAGTATTATCTGCTGTGAAGAACCTCAAAACACCTCATTCTATAGAGACATGATGACCTGATGTTTCTACTATTAGTTCTTTTAGAAACAGGCACCAAGTTTGTGTTTTAGTATAGATACCAATAACCCTGTCTTCATTACTGAATAACATTTTTTTAAGCCTGTTCAAAAACGATGTGTCTGCAATACTTTCACGTATAGCATCAGCAATCCTTAACTATACTGAACAACCCATGTTAACGTGTTTTTTTGGTTTTGTTTTGTTTTTTACTGTCAGCAAGAGTTGAATACTGTCATGCAAAAACATGCCCATCTTTAGTTTTAAAAGGATTCTGAAAACTATTTAGCAGAATAGTTGCCTGGTTCATGTCTATATCTAAGTTTGTTTCCCATACCTCCGATCTTGGCGTTGAAAGCAATTCCAACTGTGCAGTGAGAGTTGTTTGCAGCGGCTGCCACTTCTCCAGCACAGCGGGTCCCATGCCTGCAGGCAAAACACACACACTTTCTAAAGTAAGACACTCTGTTCTCACAAACTCAACAAGTCATTGCCAACACTCAGACTTCAAAGTGGTAAGGAAAGTATCCAGCTGTGGATGTTTCTAGAACTTCCTACCCAAGTAGCACTTAGTCTGTCTATGGCAAATTTTTAGCACTTAATTATGCTATTTTGAATTATATTCTTGATATGTTTATTTTTGATATCTCAGTGTCTCAACAAGAAAATCTCCTTAAGGGCTAAAACCAAACCACATGTTTATTTCTATTCTCCAAACCAATAAGGCAATCAGTATGGCTGCCATCAACCATGTGTGGTTTGGGGACATGTTAAATGTAGCTAATGCAATCTTATCTTATTTTCTAATTTTATTTAATTTTAATTAAATTTAAAAACCTAATAATTTAAGTATTATGAAAGTTAAGAATGTAGATATGAAAATATGCTTTTTAAACTGTCAACTTAAATACAGATCAAGTATTTCCAGTGAAAATTTATTATCTAGAATAGTATGTGCTTTAAACACAGTGGGTTACAAAGGTTCTATATAAAAAGCAAATATCTCATTAATAGCTGTTTTAAATCAATTGCCTATAGAAATATTTTAAACAAAACATTATGAAGATTTATTTCACCTGTTTGTTTTCACTTTTTTGTCACTTTTTTTTGTTTAAATGGGGCTGCTAGAATTCTTCTTTGGCCTTGAAAGGCATTCCCTATTATTTCTTGCCACAACAGCTCTGTTCCTTGACTAGAAAGATCTTCCAGCTGAAAGAACTTCTAAGATCATCTGGTTTTGTCAAAGGATGGCAAAGAAGATTCATGTACAAAGCACAATCTATTTAGAAGTCCTGAATTAACACATTGTTTTGGGAAGAATGGTGAGGCAGAACTGAGCCCAGAGAAAGAATACTAAGACTGCTGTCTGTCATGTTGCAGAAGACAGAGGCAATGACTACCATTATGCAGAACTGTTAATGCTAATGAAGTCCAATACCCATCTCTCACCTCAATTTAAAACATGAGAACCCGTAGAAGGACCTGAGAAGTAAAGAGATATGTCTGAAGCAGGATAGTTAGCAGAATAGTGACTTTAAAACTCAAGCCCCCAATACCATCTCTGCTTTTTATGTTATATAACAGTTACCTCTCACCACATTTATCATGAGATATGACTACTGTCCGCATAACTATAAACAAGTTATTGCTTACAACACATAGTATACATGCAAGTTTACACAAAAGATATATATTGCTTTTTCTTTCATATAAATATTAATCTACATATAATTTTAATGGTGTTATGGCTGGATGTGAGGTGTCCCCAGAAAGCTCATATGTGAGACAATGAAGGAATGTTCAGAGATGAAATGATTAGACTATGAGAACAATGTGTCCTTGCATATTATGTTATCTCTGGCTTCTTGCACTCAAACTGTATTTGCTTCCTGGCTGTCACGAATTGATCAGGTTTCCTCTGCCACACCCTTCTGCCATAAAGTTCTGCTTTATCTCTGGTTCAGAGTAATGAACTCAGCTGATCATGGACTTAACCGACAAAATTGTGAGCCAAAATAAACGTTTCCTCCTCCAAGCTGTTTGTCAGATACATTGGTCACAATTACACAAAGCTCACTAACACAAATGGTTACTAAATGGTTTTATATATGTGTGTGTGTGTGTGTATACATATATGTGTGTGTATACATATATGTGTGTGTGTGTGTGTGTGTATGTCAAATGTAGCTAATGCAACCTTATTTTCTAATTTTATTTAATTTTAATTAAATTTTATACATACACACATATACATTCACACACACATATACACATTTCACTCCTGGATATAAATTCCTAGAATTGCTAGGTTCATAGAATACATTGTCAAATTGCTAACAGCATTTGAAAGGAATATGACAAAACTATAGAAAACTTTTGGGATCAAAAATATTACTACATAACAGGAAATTTTTTGCATGGCTAAAGGGGAGGGGGAGAGACAGAATAAGCCAAAATGAATGACACTATGAAAAGCAGAGAAAATATCTGGATAAACCCTGTGTGCATAAACCCTTGATCTGGGCTTTTCTGTCTCTTTTATCCTGGCCCATCTGACATAACAATATCTCATAATTGGTTCCTTCCCTGACTATATTTGATGCAGATCGTCTTTTAAAATATTTGTTATTTTTATTTCTTGCTCTATGAATAACTTTCATAACCTTTATCTAAATTCTGTACTGACTCTCCTGTCATATCTGCTATAAATGTGATTGCAGATTTGCAAAATAAAAATCATATTTAGGGCAATCTTCTGTTGTCATACACAGTATTAGATTTTCAGGTACTCAAAATAATCTTGTCCTTCTGGTATCTGGTCATATCACTTTCATCACCAGAAAAATAGTCAGTTGCTAAAAGAATGATTTCTTCTGTAAGCCCCAAGCTCAACTAATAATTTCCCCCCAAATCTAGAAATTATTAACTATAATTCTTCATTAGTCTTATTGTATGTTAGTTCATGGTGTAAGTTATTTATATTCAAATGTCTAATTCCCTTAGTGAGTCCACTCTTCTTACAATGTATCTATTATTAATTAATGCCAAATACAAATGGACCACAAGGGCCTCTATTTTTAAATCCTGTTCTGATTTTCTCCATGAGTTACTTACAAGTAATACTTTCAAATATATACGGTAGCTTTTTGACATTAATAACTTGACTACTTCTGATAACAGAACATAATTTCTGAGTCAATTCCCTATATTTTGTGAGACAAAAATGGCCAAATTCATGAACAGTGTTAATAAACATTCTTTGTGCTTGAAAAATATGTGCTATATATTGTTTGATTGTTCTTTATGTGTCCGTTATATTAAGTTTGTTTATTGAATTTGTTAATGTTCTTCACAGTTCTACCAACTTTCTATTTAGAATGGAATTATTAATCTTCCTAGTGAAACAAACCATTTATGAACTCGTAGCAACAGTCTATGGCTCTTGTAGAAAAAAAAACAAAAAGATATCTGGTAAATATTTAACTTGTATATTATTATTTTTTTACTTTCAAACATTCTATGTTCAGATTACTTATGCCTTTTTAAAAAATGTTTCTTTTAAAGGTAGATAAACTGTCTTTAACTGTAGATAAATCCATTTACAGGAGCTATGTTTATGGATACATTCACATTCATTTCTATAATCTCCCTTGGCAACCCTGTGCCAGTTTAATCATCATGTATTGTATAATTTAGTGGTAATCCTGGATATTTCATCATGTATATCTAAAAATGTGATGTCTAAAGTCATCAATAATTTTTTATTCATTTCTCAAATAAGGCAGACTTTTTAGAATGTCTGAACTCTGATTATCTATCTCTTATACCCATGTATAAGTTTTCTATGATTATAGTTATACTTGGATTTTTTTAACCCTAGAAATTACCATTAGCGATACTACTCTGAACAACCAATATTTGTCTAGATTTATAAATACATTCTCTGACCTATTTCTTTTTGTAGTTCATTCATCCTCCTGGCATCTTGATTTCTTTCTGCAGAACATTCTCTAGGGCTGGATGTTGCTCTGTGGTAGTGTTTACCTAACATGCACAATCCTAGATTAAATCTCCAGCAACCAAAAAATAAATAATACATAAATAAACAGAAAAAATAAAAAAGAGAAAATATTTTGTAAATATACTCTTAAGAGTCTTTTGGTTGTCAAAAGTCTTCTTGTATCTTCAGGAAATGACTTTATTTTACCCTTCTTGAAAAAAACATTTTCAGTGGACAAAAAAAGATTCCAGACCAATACCACTGTCTTCCAGTTTTCCACTGTTTCTGGTAAAAAGTGAGCAATCTGTACAATGTTTCTTTTGGATACTTTCAAGATTTTCTCTTCAATTCTTCTGTTTTTCAGGTTCATTATAAGAAGTTGTACCTATGAATTTATAAAAATTCTTTCTTGGAATTCCTAAGCTTATAGCTTAATTTCTAATTCCTTGGATTCTATCTCTTATCTCTCAAAATGGCTCTTTTTCATTCTCTCTAGTCCTTGCTTTTTGGGACCCCAGTGAAGCATCTTTAATACCTTTTCACACTACCTTAGTGACTTCTCCCATCCTTCTCTCTGACCAGCTATCTGTTTAACTTCTTTGATTTCTATGTTTTACTTATTCCGTCTCAGCCATAACTAATCTGCTATTTAATCCATTCCTATGTTATTCATTTCAGTTATTGTATGTATCATTTTTGAAGTTCTTTCTGTTCTTTTTCAAACCGGTTTGGTTAATTCTGATACTCTCTTTTTTCAAATGCCTTTTCAATATTCATTTCTTTAGAAATACATATTTTATCTAATAATTAGAATTATATAATATGTAACTCTAATTCTGTTATGATGCTTGCTGCTGGCTTGTTTTCTTGGTGAAATTTCTCCTATGTAGTTGGTAAATTATTGATTTAAGAAGTAATGTTGCTTGAGCTTTTACTTTTGTGAATTCTTTGAGGCTAGAGTAGAAAGCTCATAGTTACAAGGAAGATTCAAATTTGCTTCTGTCACATAACGGTCATAAACCAACCAGGACCTGTTCAATTAAATTTAAAATTTGAACCACAGAAGTAATATGAATTAGAGGTATAAATTACATGAGTGCTGTATGTAAATCTTAAGGTATAGTTAATTATTCATCCTCTTGTCCCATCTGTTACCCAGGTTGAGAAAGTAAAAGATGTCCCCTGTTTCACTGTATATAGGGTTCCCCCTCCATTAAGGTACTGAAGATTTTTTGTTTTTTAAGGAGCTATGTTTTATGCAGAAACCCTCTCTCACCTTATTTGACCACAGGCTTTTGACTTATCATTTCTAAGCTTGTTAAAATACAGCTCTAGGATGGCTTGGGTTGATTGTTCACCCTGGAAAAGGCATATGCCACTTACTCTTGTATTTGAGCTTTCTTTGAAAAATTCTCTTTGTATCCCA